TTACAATACGAAGTCTGATTCGGTTTCACAAGGAATTCAAATTGAACAGGAACCTAAATAAAACTTGAAGCGTGATACCTAGGAGAATCATGTAATTATGAATTAAGCTTTTACAATGAAAAGTAAATCATTAACAAATAACTGGTCTAAAACCGGATTTCATCAAGTATTGTACAAAATGCAGAGGGGGCAGAAGATCTTAATGGGATCTGAACATCAGCACTGTTAGATGCATTTTACATTTTATCAGATGAAGAAATATTTTGTTTGTCACCAATGATGTTTGAGGAGGCGGTGTTCTTTATGCAAATCCCAAAAGCATCACAATAACAAAACTGCAAGTGCCGATATAGTCTGACCGTGGGACATGTCATTTTAGCATAGCGTGTTGTACAATGTTTGAGCTCTTTGCTCTAAACATGGTCCCGGTTCTGAAGCGATAATTTTTCAATCAATAAATAACTGTACTACACGAGAATGACTAGTCATTTTGAAAGGCCTTTCAGAAGTATTCTTCGCTTTACTGCACACGGTAAAGAATCATTGAGTCGGTCAACTTAAACTGCTCCATAAGCCTCTAAAACCAATAACACAATGCACCAGCTTGAAAGATTATTGACATACTCCTAGCTTTTGAATGTACTTCATGACGCGGAAAAGTTGTTCAACTTAACCAACTCTTGAAATATCAAAAGCAACGATTACAGTAGTACTCTGGTGAATGATGTGAAATGCATCAGTACTGTGCAGGAGTACCAAAATACCATAAACCATGGGTCAGGTTAAAAGGACCCCCAGCCAAAGGAGAAAAGGGCAACAAAATATGCCATGTAAATTCGCTAGACAGAATCATGTATACTGCATCATTGCCCCTGAAAACAAATTTTGCTGCGGCGAAGCTCCATGATTATGTCGTTGTCGGTACCATCCGACGTCATTTCAAACTATTCTCTGATTTTATGACCAGTCAATGGTTCCCTGCTCGATTTTTTCTCATGCTCACGGACTTGACCATTAGTCCGGCTAATGAACGACGACTCCGGCATACATCATTAGAGCCACACTGATTTTCAAAATGCTAAGCATTTATTCTGTACAAGTAATGGGGAAACGAGAGCTACAGACAGAACTATCGAAGACCGATATTGAAGTCGCTGGTTGACTGCTAATATTTTGGCCAAATAATACCGATCATCCAAGCGGAAAACAATGTGGACGACTACTGTTGCTTGGCCGAAACGCTGGCAGTACAATACTTTGGGGTCAGTCATTAGATTATGTCTATAACTATAATTTGCATGATTCGCATTTGCTGAACAAAAAAAGAATAGATTTCAGTTTTCGAAATCAAACCTGTTCCTAACCGTATTTAATATTAAATTCAAATGACTGTTGATAATAATTCAATAATTTATTGCTAAATAATTTAATTCACGAAACTTGCAATAATGAGCTGCTATGATGCTTAGTATATTACCAAATAAAATAATAGTTGCAAAACGAACCTTGCCAATGTTGTGTATGGTTAAGTCTTGGCACCGGGATTCCAGGAAACGAACATCCTCAAAGTTGAACTAAAAACAACACGTGAAAACCAAATGGAAATAGCATGAAATAGAAGAATACGCGCTAACCTCAAGTTTGTCGAGGGAAACTTGCGGCAGCCATTCGTTCTCGATCCGATCAGACTCACGTAACGCTGCTTCATATACCTTCTGGTACTTCTGTTTGTCGACAGTCTTTACCTAAAAATGCAATTCACCAAGTATACGCAATGTTTCTGAACAAGACACGTCACAGTTGTTAATGACCAGTTGAAAATATGTGTTGAGCAAATATGCACTCATCATTTCGAAGAGCTGTGCTTCATCCGCGCCCACAAGGAATGTCTTTGAAGATGTATTACGCAGCACACAACGTAAAACAATCGATTTATCGAGTGACATGCTAAAGACAATGAAGGTTCATCATTCGATAGACTGATCACTCTGTCATCTGCATAATTCCATCATTTTTCTCCTGTTTATTCATAATATTTACAACCAGTTGCATGTAATTCATTGCAATGAATATTAGCACAATCTTTCTGTCCCTTTTCCACGTTACTTTCGAATATTTTATTTAAATTATTTGTATGGCGAAAACATGTATATATTTTGATAAAAACACGCCCTGACTGAGGGGTAAATATAACTTATTAAAACTCGAATCCAATTACCAATGCACAAACAACAAACAAAGCACTCCGTCTTAATTAAATACGAAAAGTGGCATTCCGGCAATAAGACGATATCTTCACTCAGCTCCTTACTTAC